TTGAGATAAACATTTTTGCTTCAGTAATGTATAACAAAATATTAACTATTAAAGAGTTATCGAAAAAAGACTTTAAGCCCCTTTTGGCCCCTTATTTGAGTGCTCAGCCCCTTTTTCTTGATTTCATCTTGAAGCTCTTAGGATTTTAAACACTTTGTGATCAATAACTATTCAGAGATTCTTTTTCGTTTTCGAGTTATTTGTAAAAGAAATATTTAGGGGCCAACCCTTCAACTCCCTAATGGGGACATTGACCGAAAAATGAAAGGTTGCATATTGTTCAGAACATGATTTTGAACATCTTTTGTTCAATATTACTTGTCAAAATATTTCTCACTTTCGAGCTATAAAGCGTCAAAGATTTAGCATTCTGGCCCCTTGTGGCCCCTAATCATGCATTATACGACATTAAAATCATAATATACAGTGGTAGATTGTTTAGATAAACATTTTTGCTTCAGTAATGTATAACAAAAAATTGACTGTTAAAGAGTTATCGAAAAAAGACTTTAAGCCCCTTTTGGCCCTTAATGTGATGACTCAGCACTTTTTTCTTGATATCATTTTAAAGATCGTGTCATTTTCCACAAATTTTGTTCAATATGTTTTAACAAAATAATCATACTTTAAAAGATATGATGCAAAATGTCTTTAAAAATCAGTCATGATTCGTGTCCTAAATTTTGACCCCTACCGAGCTTCCATACTAGATACTTCCGGAAAATATCCAGACCCAGGTGCACCATGGCAACATGTCCTCTATTATCACTGAAAATTTCAGCGCTCTAGCTTAAGCCATTATTGAGTTCTATCAAAGACACGGAGGTCGTTTGAATTTTAAGAAAAGGGCGATAACTCTAGACCGGAAGTGATTTTCAAAAAATCCTTCAGCCGGAATTAACTTCAGATAATTCTACACCAACCCTGAAAATTTGAAACAAATCGATCCAAAGATCTCTGAGGAATCGTCGGCACAAAATTTGTGCAGAAAAAAAAAAGAATAATAACTAGATACGATCTCGTTGCGAGCAACGAGTGGGTCTTCCGTCCAATTCTTGAGGAGATGAGATGAAATTTTGATTGAGATTTTCATTCTAAATTAATGATAAAGATTGTGAAGAAGAACTATTTTGCCTCCATAATCTGTAAAAAGGCATTGAACATTAAGGACTTTAAAATTCGACTTTTGGCCCCTCGCAGCCACTAATATAAGGGATCAGCCTTTCTTCTGCATATCATCTTAATGCTCTCAGGATTTTCATCAATTTTTGTTCAACAACTTTTCAGAGATTCATTTTCGTTATCGAGTTATTCGCAAAAGAAATATTTAGGGGCCAACCCTTGTTCAATATTACTTATCAAAATATTTCTCTCTTTCGAGATATAAAGCGCCAAAGACTTAGCATTCTGGCCCCTTGTGGCCCCTAATTATGAACCATACGACATAAAAATCATAATATATAGTTGTAAATGGTTGAGATACACATCTTTACTTCAGTAATGTATTACAAAATATTAACTGATAAAGAGTTATCGATTAAAGACTTTTGGCCCCTTTTGGCCCCTAATTTGAGTTCACAGCCCCTTTTTCTTGATTTCGTCTTAAAGATCTTATGATTTTGAACACTTTTTGTTCAACAACTATTCAGAGATTCTTTTTCGTTTTCGAGTTATTTGCAAAAGAAATATTTAGGGGCCAACCCTTCAACTCCTTAATGGGGACGTTTAGAGAAAAATGAAAGGTTGCATATTGTTCAGAACATGATTTTGAACATCTTTTGTTCAATATTACTTATCAAAATATTTCTCTCTTTCGAGATATAAAGCGTCAAAGACTTAGCATTCTGGCCCCTTGTGGCCCCTAATTATGTACCATACGACCTAAAAATCATAATATATAGTTGTAGATCGTCGAGATAAACATCTTTGCTTCAGTAATGTATTACAAAATATTTACTAATAATGAGTTACCGATTGAAGATTTTTGGCCCCTCTTGGCCCCTGATTTGATTGCCCAGCCCCTTTTTCTTGATTTCACCTTAAAGCTCTTAGGATTTTGAACACTTTTTGTTCAACAACTATTCACAGATTCTGTTTCGTTTTATAGTTATTTGCAAAAGAAATATTTAGGGGCCAACCCTTCAACTCCTTTATGGGGACGATAAGCGAAAAATGAAAGGTTGCATATTGTTCAGAATATCATTTTGAACATCTTTTGTTCAATATTGCTTATCAAAATATTTCTCACCTTCGAGATATAAAGAGTAAAAAATTTAGCATTCTGGCCCTTTGTGGCCCCTAATAGCAGACTTCCGAGTTACTGCCGGAACAACGTTTTTCTCCGAATTTTAGACACGCCTTTAAAAAATTTAAGCCCTGTAAACTTCCGGTTTCTCGAAAGGTCATACTAAGCGGTAGAATACAAACCATTATGACGGATTTCTATTCTCTGAAGGTTCCAGAACTCAAACAATTTCTCCAAGAGCGAGGTGTTTCTTGTACGTTACTTCGGAAGATAGATCTGGTGAGACTATGTGAACTCGCAACGGAGCTGAATCTTGAAATAATACCAACCGATGATGGGGGAGATTACAATGTCATGGACAAGAAAAGGAGAACCGTGCAGGTAAATGGTGACGATATCGTTATACCGTCCCCAACTGACGTGTGCTCGTGGCAGACACAGCTCAACAACATGCCAGAGATACAGACGTATGATATTCTCATTTATTTTTTGACTTATTGCAAGTGGGAAAACAATCGTTTACAGACATACAGAAATGACAACGGTTTTAGATTATTTTCAAGCAACGACATTGACGATGTTCAGATTTCACCGGTTCTTGAACATGACTATATGTACATGAAGGCAACATGTGCACCAGAGACCAGACAAAATTCTATTCCATATACAACATGGTTGTTGGTGCATCAGTCAGGCCAAGTGATGTCTGCAGGTTGCACATGTGTTGCGTAAGTATATGGTATATAATTCTTTATCATACTTCTCGAATGTGCCAGAATGTTATCACTTGGCCAATTTTCAGAAGTATTAGGTTCATTCTATCAGAATAAATGTTTATAAATGAATATATTCATGTGTCTGATTCCATTTCCATTGTTGACATGTTTATATATGCATTATACTTTTATTTTGATTACTCATATGCCTTATTTTTATACTTCATCTCTCATTTTTCCATTAGCATTTTTTTCAGTTCCTTTAGTTTCTTTGTGACTGTTGACCAGCGTGCATAATATGTCTTGATAATGTGAAACAAGCATTTTTTGTTCTCTGGTTGTTGGTCACTTTTTTTTCATCATCACGGCTGAATACTGAAGATATATCCACACATGACATATATATATCCATAAGTGACATGAAAATTTTCACATATTTTATAGAGACAATGGAACCTGTAAACATTGTGTTGCCCTTCTGTTTGCTGTAAATGACTTTTGTTCTCGACACAAGGATAGAGGTACTGAGGTGGGAACAGATGTTGAGTGTGTCTGGGATAAACCCAGAAATGAGTCAATTCCTATGGAAGTAGATGAAATTGATATCAGAACTGATACAAGTGTACCTAAAAAGATCACCCCCATTCATACAGTCTATAAATCAACTGTGAACAATATTACATGTACTACTAATGACGTTAAGATCAAGCTTAAAAATATTTGCAAAGGTTCAAAAGCATTGCTTTTACAAACACTATATGAAGAGGGTGATGATTTAGAGGATGAAAGTGATAGTTCTAAAATTCCAACAGTTCTTGATGTGGTAAACTCTAATGTTGGAGAAAATATTTTTGTATGCTTACAAAATGCTTTTGATAAAGACACTATAAACAAAATTGAAGAGATCACCAGAGATCAGAGTGAAAACCCAGAATGGTTTAATCATCGCAAAGGCAGAATTACAGCATCCAATTTTTCTTCTATTTTAAGCTTTAAATTTACTGAGAATGATGAAAATTATATATCCAAAAGAGTTATGGGAAAGTCAAGTTACATAAATACTCCATCTGTAAATTTTGGGAGAGAAAATGAAAATGTGGCACGACAGTTGTACTTTTTGGACTATAAGAAATGTCATGAAAAGGCCAAACTTGAGCTTAGTGGTTTACAGGTAGATGAATTACACCCATATTTAGGAGCCTCTCCTGATGGTTTGATAAGCTGTAAATGTTGCGGTGAGGGACTGATCGAGATTAAATGTTCATACATGTATCAAAATAAAACACCACAAGAAGCATGCCTTGATCACCATTATCATGTATACTTAGATGAAAACAACTTAGTTAAACTAAAAGATAGTTCATCATGGTATATTCATATCCAAGGTCAAATGGGTGTTTGTAAAAAACAATGGTGTGACTTCATTTTGTATACAAAAAAAGGTATTGCTGTTGACAGAATATATTTTGACTCTGAACTGTATGAAAAAATTGTCAAGACATCAAAAAGATTCTATGAAAAGTACATTGTAAAGGCACTAACTAACAAAAATAAATGATGACAAAAAACCAGTTTGATTATTTTATTTTTTCACAAGTGGTGTCTGTAAATTACAAAGAAAAGCACACACTTTCAGAATCTGATTTGACAATGGCTTCAATGACAAAGGCATGGTATTACTTAAGATATTAAAATTTTTCAATCTTTCTATCGCACGTTCAACATGAATTCTAAGACGAGCTATACATCTAGTCTTAATAATATCATTCTGCAGCAATCGTTTTCCTTTACCCCAGTTACATTTCTTGGTGAAAGGTGGAATTACAAGCTTTGCATGTCTTTCTAACAATAAATCTCTAATTAAAAATCCTCTGTCAGCCATAATTTCATGACCTGGTCTTACAAAATCAAGAAAACCACAGTTCTTAGTAATATATCTGTCAGATGTATTACCTCCCCATAAATCTGATATAAAAATGATGGCACCAGATGGCATAATACCTATTAAAGCTTTGTATGTATTATGATGCTTATAAGTACTATAAGTTCTGGACTGTGCAGAAGGAGATCTGGGCTTTTGTATAAAAAATTCAGTACAATCAATAATACAAACTGTATTGGGAAATGTAAGTTTAAAGGACTTAGGTAAAAACTTCTTGATAACAGGTGTAGATGGCCAAACTAATAAAGGTGTTAAAATATGATACATAAAATTTACCCATGTTGTGAAAATCTGAGACACACGTGTATTTGAAACTCCAAAAATATCAGCCAAAAAAAATGTAAAAATAGCAAGCCGTAAACGAATAAAGTCATAATAAATTCTTCATATTTCGACAGTTTTCTTGTTGGTCCAGTTTTCCTCCTATCCGCATTCTGCTGGTATGGAGTTTCCTCAGCACTGCTTTGTCCACTCCAATATTTAATGTTGGGCGATGCTTCATCTAACACTTCTACAATACATTAAAAAAATACATTTGATCATCCATAATAATTAATTGTATGAGCATATTAATTATTATAAACATGCATGCAATTTTCTTATAAGGAGCAAAGCAAGTAAGGTAATTATTCTTATTCCATGTACCGTACAAGTACCCTTGTCCTGTCCATTATTTTCAAAATTCTTATTATTCACAGTGGTTGGTATAAAAATATCTTTTTACCCTGTGATTTTTGGACAAATTTTATTTCATTCAGTATCATTAAAATACATGAATTTTCATGCAAATACATAACTGGCTAAACAATTTACCATACAATCCATGTAGCATTGACTTTGATGGAATACCAGTGTACTGCTTTACACTCCTATCAGTTGCTGTGACCTTTTCAATGAAGAGGTTTCTCATGAGAGCATCAGGATTTTCAAACTTCTTCTTTAGAGCCATGAGTTCCTCCATTTCCTCCATCCCTATATCTGTCTGTATTCCACTGTCAACTGTATCTGGTCCATGGCTTTCACCTACAGCTGCAGATGCATACTCATGGTCAGGCTGGCATGGTTGCACAACTGAAAGAATGAGATTATAAAAGTTTTATCTTAAAAATGTGTCACTGTGTATTATATAATTTAACTATTATCTAAAATATAAATATATGAAGAGAAATGTTTTAACTAATCACAAAGTAAAAATCTGCCTTAATGTCTTCACAATAACACTTTGCCAGTAAATATTTCCTGATACTATTATAATACATTATATTATTTTTAAAATTTAAAACCTGTGTTCAGTGTTTCACACGCAGAAGCCACTGTCTCTTCAGACACAACAGGGGGGGTTTGAAAATCCACACATTCCATTTCCATATAACACTGACTATGGCTCTATATAGGAAATTTAATATTACATTTAGTTTCATGTACTTAAGCTATACACTGAAAAATATATTAGTACTGCGTACTATCAATTCATCATTAAATAAACATGTAAGAAACATTCATGAAAAAAGAAATAGTACTTTAAACATTTCTGTGACTGAAATTTACAGTCAAATTTCATACATGGGTAAAATCTGAAAATTCAAATATGTACATGTATTCACTGAAAAAGCAACTGAAAAATATAATCGGCACTATGAATTATAGTGTCAGTTTGAAAAGCAGAAACAAACATTTTTTTCCACAGGCTTTATAGATATATATTTATATACACAGTGTTAAACTTACATCATTGTAGGACTGAAAATCAGCTGCCTCTTCATTCGACTCCATCAAGTGTGAATTTTCAAGGAACTGGATGAAACAAAAATATATGTTATTTTCATAGCAACATTATTGAAAGTCTATATATCTACAAAGGACATTCTGCTAGTCAGTTTGCTGAGTTAAAAATACTCTTTACATGTATCAAAAAGAGCAGTGTTTATTAGGCTTAGGATAGCTAAATTGAAACAGTATATTGTAGACTAGGGAATTTTTAATACATGTACTATCCTATCAGAGATGACAATGTAGTTAAACAAGCCCTGTCAAGGGATTGTACTTAAGTGTCGCCTACTTTAAATGTAAGGTGACAACGAAACACCAAGGTTTACATAAAGAATAAAGACAAGTATATTCTCTTTAGTTTAAAGAAATAGACAAGCTTTCGCCTACATCCATGGGCAAAAGCCTGTCCACTTCTCTAAAGAGAATAAGGTATATACAACACATAGAACAGAAAAACGTGGTGAATGTATACAAAGGTTGACTGGCAGGACTCGACTAGCTAATGTTGAAAGCGTGCAGGCACACATGGTGCAAGGTCATAGTGAATAAATTAACAAATGCATTTAAACTACATACTCTTATTACAAGCCTTGAAACAAACTAGTCTATCAAGTATCATTTCAAAAATAAAAATCACGAGGGGGGCATTTTTATGTGTATTATATTAATTAATCATACACTGTGTCACACCTCGTTACGTTTCTCTGCCGCTGAACGTTTGGTGATGGATGTTGAGCTTCTGTTCTGTAGAGGCTCCTTGTAATTATTGTAAGCAAATAACGTGGGATATGGGTTTTCAGGTGTTGGACTGCCATCAACAAAATGTCGGGAACATATCTAACACACAACACACAAAGAAACCCTTTGTACTGAGACACGAATATTTTGCAAAAAGTGCAAAATAATTTAGTCTTTAAGAATTATTCCACTTTACCCTGTGATGCATAGGTGGGTCGTAATCTTTCGCCGCAGCAAATTCAGCCACGCTCGCCTACATTTTGGGTCCTTTTTCTGTGTTGGGAAAGGGAAAAATTTAACTTCTGTCATATACCCATATCTTCCCCTTTTCTTTGTGTCAGCGTGACAGCCCTCGGCAGCACAGTAATACCGGGTTTTGCTGTGCTACTCGCCATATCGTCTGCAAAAAAGTATCGAGGGCTTAAAAAAGTTGCGAATCACGTGACCGCAGTGTGTAAAATCAAGAATAAAACGTTGTTCCGGCAGTAATTTCGTTGGTTACAGGTTCTATTTCGTTTTTTTCTCCAAAGTTAAAACAAAGAAGGATAATTCCTTCAATTTTGCTTATTTAAGTTATCTCTCTTGTGAAAACAAAACAATAATGTAGCAGCGGCTTACACCGGAAAATTACGAGCCGATAGCTGGAAACTGGCAGAAATAGGGCCACGCGGCCGTGAGATCGGACAAAGATAACAGCCCAGTTAATAGCCGCGGCCATTATGGGACACTAAATGTGATATCATGGAACATAGGAAAGGGACTTAGAGTTAAACATAAGGATAGTGATTTCTTATCCATAATAAATAGTGCAGATATAGCATGTTTATCCGAGTGCTGGATAACGGATGACGATAGTAAACAAATCAGTATATCTGGGTATGAGTCCTTAACTTTTCCACGGAAGAAAGGTAAAGGGGGTGGATTAGTAGTGTTTGTGAAAGAAGAAATTTATAAATATATAAGTGTTGAAGAAAATTTTTTTGATACCATTTTAGTTATAAAACTCACAAATTGTAAAATTAATAATAGGCCAATCTTTTTATTTTTCTGTTATATACCACCAGATGGCAGTGTTTTTTATCTTAAAGAAGATGTTGATTTATTTCAGTGTTTATATGATCTAATTAGTAAATATACATTTCTTGGATGCATCTTTTTATCAGGTGATTTAAATGCTAGGTGTGGTTTAAATGAAGACTATATTGTAAATGATAATCTCTCTGAGAATGTGTCTGATGCAATACAACATTTGATATCTTATACTTCTGATATATGTAATATTAACAGGAAAAGTCAGGATAGTTATGTAAACCAGCACGGTAGAAAGTTTTTGAATTTGAACAACAGGTTTTTGAATTGTAAATGGTAGACATTCTGGAGATGCTAAGGGTAATATAACTTTCTATGGTGCAAATGGAGTCAGTTTAATCGATTACCTTATTTGTCGACATGAAAATATACAGTATATCTTAGAATTTTCTTCTGGAACATTCAATATTTTATCTGACCATTCCCCTCTATTTTTTAAAATCAATTGCGATAATGAAATTACATATCCTTATGATAACAAATCAACAGAACACTATAGAGTAGAGTGGAAAAATATAAGATGGAACGAGGATGAAAAATATAATATAAATGTTGATCTAGTTAATAATGCAAACACATTAATTGAATTAGTAAGCTGTCATTTAAAAGACCAGCAAGATGTAGACAATTGTATTGTTAATCTATGTTATATCATAAATGACATTGTATTACCAAAATGTGAAACAAAACGGGGGCAATTTACAAGTGAAAGTTCACAATATAATCACAAATCTAGAGGAGATGATAAACCTTGGTTTAATGACGAGTGTAAAGAAAAATATAAGGACTATAAAAACGCTTTGCATATTTTTAACTCAAATAAATCAACGGAAAATAGAAAGAAACTAGAGCAAAGCTCGTTGCAAAGCAACGAGTAGGTCTTCCGTCCGGTTTTGACCGGAAGTGCCGGAAGCGACAGAACAAAAGAAAGCAGTGAGCTAAGTATTCTCCGGTGACTTTATAATTTCAATTTTGCATCAAAACCTTCAAAAAATGCCATTTTTTGCTACTTCCGGTTTGACCAGAAGTGACGACGACGGACGGAAAATTACTTTTATGCTCCCAGAGACATATGTAACCCAAAAACTTGTCAAGAACGGCAAAAAAAACGCAATTTCCGACTACTTCCGGTTTGGCCGGAAGTGACGACGCCGGACGTATTTTGACGACTCTAATAGATTTAGCTTGACATTTTGAACAACTTTGCTTCTTTGACGTATTACAAATTCTAAATACTTTTTGAGATATAAGGGAAAAACATTCGGCCCCTCTCAGCCTATTTAAGGATCTAGCCCTTTCGAGGTATCCTTTGAAAGATCTTAGAATCTATACCTTTTTTATTCTACATGTTTTAACTAAATATTTCCAGGTAAAAAGGGACTTTATAAAAGTTGTTAAAAATTTTGAAATTCGTGATAGGCCTATTTTCGGGTCATAGCGAGCGCCGACGTGCGGCACTTCCCTTAAAAATGAAATACCTTATACATGTCTATAGACTTTTTTGGTCTATCATACCTGAAAGTTTCATATTTCTATCTTGAGCCATTATTGAGAAAACTGCCGGACAAAATGACCCTCTAAAACTCACTAAATCGCATAAACTCCGAACTGGAAGTGACGTCATCAAATTAAAAAAAACGCCTTAAGTTCATATAATTTGTCATGAATGCTGAAAGTTTCATTAAAATCCATCGGCGCATTTACGAGAAATCGCCTGCACAAAATCGGTAAGAATAATGATAAGAAAAGTAGAAAAGAAACAACAGAATAATAAGAAGGTCTTCCGTTGAAACTGAAGACCTTAACTAAATACGATCTCGTTGCGAGCAACGAGTGGGTCTTCCGTCCGATTTTCGATGAGATGAGATACGATTTTGATAGAGATTTTTATTCGGAAATAATGATTATATTTTTAAAGAAAACGATTTTGCTTTTGTAATGTGTAAAAAGATATTGAACATTAAATGCTCATAAATTCGACTTTTGGCCACTCTTGGACCCTTACATGTGGGGTCAGCCCCTTTTGTATTCGAATCAACTTAAAGCTCTTATGATTTGAAACACTTTTTTGTTCCACAAGAATTCAGAGATTTTCCTTTCGAAAGATATTTGCCAAAGAAATATTTAGCGGCCCTTCAACTCCTTAATGGGGACGTTTAGAGAAAAATGAAAGGTTGGATATCGTTTAGAACATCATTTTGAACATTTTTTGTTCTATGTTACTGATCAAAATATTTCCCATTTTCGAGATACAAAGCGTCAAAGATTTCGCATTCAATGCCCCTGTGGCCCCCTTTTAGGTAATATATAATAAAAAGTTAATAATATACACTAGACAAAATTGCTAACGCACCACCGACAATTCTTCCTTGTGAATTGAACATTTGCCTAAACGGTATTAGTATATATAAAAGGCCGTATTTTTCAATGCAATGGGCTTTTCAAATGTCTTGATGTAGAAGAAAACCTTAAGATGACCTTCTTGTCCAAAACCAATTTCCCGACGTGCATTGCGTACCTCCTTTTGCCCAAATATCTGCATTGCTAATTACAGATGATGGTTCTTGAGGTTAGACCAGAAACAGTCTCCCAGTTAAGAAATATCAAATAATATGCAACGATTGACTATTATATCGCCTGCTAGTCATCCAATGCATTCGTGTCCAGACCCAGTCCACTCAACTTCCGGTTGCCTCAATTTTGTGGAACGACATTCAAGTTGTAGTGTGGTGTTTACTTAACGGCTTGGCTATCTAGAGTGAACATTTTTAGGTTAACTAATCTATTTGCATGAATTTTTCACTAGAAGAATAAATATTGTTTTGCTTGTTTTAATTTTTTACATATCTTTCCAAGGGTACCCCCTGCAGACACCAAACTGTCTGTTTTATCACGCTCACCTGGGATCAAATGCCGCATATTGTATAATTTTTTTTTGATTTTCTAATAAGTACAAAAATAAAAAACAAAAATGCAAAGAAAAAAATCAAAATTTACCCCTCCAAATAAGTATGAACACGATTTTCACGTTTTCTATGAAATGGTCACACTTCAGTAAACATTGTAGTAATTTATCAAATAAGATATTTAAATGCTTTATTTTTAAATTTTGTAACAGAATACTATATCAAATACATCTTAAACAAGTTTTGAAAAGTAAAATATTATTTTCATCAGGTGGTGCGTTAGCAATTTTGTCAAGTGTATACATGTAGTTGTAGATTGTTAAAATCAACAATTTTACTTCAGTAATGTATAACAAACTTTTGACTGTAAACGAGTTATTAAATGAAAAAAATGGACCTATTTGCGCTTCATGTGATGAGTCAGCACTTTTTTCTTGATATCAAATTACAGATATTGTAATTCTGCACAGATATTGTTCAGTATGTTTTAACAAAATATTAATACTTTAAAATCT